CCAGCAGCGGCGCCCCCGGCGCGTAGCGCACGGCCAGCGGCCGGCCCCGCTCCGTGGTCTCCAGCAGCACCGAGACGCTGCCGTTGCCCTGCAGCTTCAGGTCGAAGGAGATGATGAAATCACGGCCGTTGTTCAGCTCCAGGGAAACGCCCTCGGAGTTTTCTGGAAAAGGGATGAGCCCCCTGTGAGCCCGTCCTGGGAAAAGGGATCAGCGCGAGGAGGATCCCGGTGGGAAGGGTTTGGGGTTTGGGGGAGATCCCCGAGGATTTAGGGCAGCCCTTGGATGGGTTCAGGGTTATGGGGAGGTTTCAGCTGGATGGGTCCGGAATGAAGGATTGGGAATGGGAAAGGATTGGGAATGGGCAAGGATTGTGAAGGGAAAGAATTGGGAAGGGAAAGGATTGGGAATGTGAAGGACTGGGAATGAAGGATTGGGAGTGAAGGATTGGGAATGAAGGACTGGGACCAAAAGCCAAACCAAACCCCAGCACCCAACAATTTCCACTCCCTGTTCCAGCACCTGCCAGAATTCCCACCACCCACCGGAATTCCCACCACCTGCCAAAATTCCCAGAACCCCCCAGAATTCCCAGCACCCTCCGGAATCCCCAGCACGCACCGGGGCAGGAGAAATGCTTGACGGCGGTGAGGCGGGATTTGTCCCAGACGGTGGCGAGGGTGCAGCCCTTGGGCACGGTCCAGCGGCCGTTCCCGCCCTCGTTCCCGCTATTCCCGACGCTCCCGATCCCGTCTCCCGCTGTCTCGTACACCTCCACGTGCGGCGCCTTCTCAGTCAGGTTCTTGCTGTAGTGGCTCAGGCCGTACTGGGCGATCTGGATGGGGTAGAAGTAGCCCTGAGGGCCCCACTGCGTGGAGACGGGAACTCCTGCCCGGGAAAAACACGGAAAAGGCCTTGGAATCAGAGGAAAAAACCCCGGAATTCCCGGGAGCGCCGTAGATGGGGCTGGAAGTGTTAGAGGGAAGCGCTGGGGAGGGAGGGGTGGGGCCCTTTCCCATTAAAATCCGGAATTCCGTGGTTTGAGCTGGTGGAGGAATCCCTGCTCTGCTCTTCCCGATGTTCATGGAATCATTCTGGCGCGTTTAAAGGATGATCCCAATCCCAAAAATCCTCTGATTCCCAGCAAATCCCACCTTCCACAGCCCTGACACACTTGACCTTGTCACCATTCCCACATTCCCAGCACCAAATCCAGGTCACTCTGTACTTCCAGCACACCTTCAGCAGCACTTCCAGGATATTTTCAGGACCACCCCAATCCCAAAAACCCATGGCATTCCCGTGCTCCCCACCTCCCACACCACTGACACACTTGACCCTGTTGCCATTCCCACATTCCCAACACCAAATCCACTTCTTAAGCGGCACTTCCAGGATTTTTTCAGGACCACCCCAATCCCAAAAATCCCCGGGAATCCTCTGATTCCCAGCCAACCCCACTTTCCAAACCGCTGACCATTCCCACATTCCCAGCACCAAATCCACTTCTGGATCATCTTGAGCAGCACATCCAGGATATTCTCGGGAGCACCCCAGTCCCAAAACTTCCCAGGAATGCCGTGCTCAGCACCTTCCACTCCGCTGATGCACTTGACCCTGTCGCCATTCCCACATTCATTCCCGCATTCCCAGCACATTTCCAGCACCTTCCGCCCCACTGATGCACTTGACCCTGTCCCCATTCCCACATTAATTTCCACATTCCCAGCCCATTCCCAGCACGTTCCCAGCCCACTCCCATCACCTTCAGCCCTGCTGATGCACTTGACCCTGTCAGCATTCCCACATTCCCACATTCATTCCCACACTTCCTCATTCATTCCCAGCACATTCCCAGCCCATTCCCACATTCCCAGCACATTCCCAGCCCATTCCCACATTCCCAGCACATTCCCAGCCCATTCCCACATTCATTCCCACATTCCCAGCCCACTCCCATCACCTTCAGCCCTGCTGATGCACTTGACCCTGTCAGCATTCCCACATTCCCACATTCATTCCCACACT